TCCCGAGTAGATGGCTGTTTGTCTAAATTTCTTGCCCCAATACAGATTTTTATGGGTTGAGAGGTCCCATTAAAAGATCTGTAAAGAAAAATATGCAGCCCTTACTGGCTCAGACTCATAGTTCCCGAATTTAGAGGAAAGTGGCTGGTTAACATTACAGACATTTTGAAGTACTTGTCTTTCGGCAGCGCAAAGAACAATAGCAAGCAAAGCCCTTTGATGGGCCAGAATTTATTTTATTTTATGTACTTATTAATTGGTACACTTTCTCCCCCATTTTAGGCAAAGATTCTGTACATTGAAACAATAAAATAAGTAAAGACATGTGTCTGCTTTAAAGTCTTGATACTAAGTCTCCACAGTCCTTTCCCTGCTTTCTGGGGAAAGGCTCTTTCTGTTCTCGGCCTCTGCCCTTTGATCTCCCAGGCAGCGCCATTTGGTTGTAAATGTATGTGGTGCCTTTGATCTAGTACTTAGCTGGTCTTATTTAAAATAGATAGCTTCTTTTATCTAAGTAGTGTTTACTAGTTCTCTCTCTATGAAAGATGGTTTAAATTGCTATTATTTAGATACAAGTTGTTTCCTAAGAGCACCCAGATCTGAATCTAATTCTCTAAATTCCAAAACCCCAACAGCTCTATTACAGATTTTGCGAAGCCAAATTCCTATTAACATGAGCTGCTCCTACAGATGTCAGGTAATACTTGCAAAAACTTTGTTTGCTTTTTAATGAGGACCTGATTTTCCAAAGAATAATAAACATATCCTACACTCGGGCAAAAAACAGTAATCTCAGAACATTTAAACATAATGGCCAAATATCCGTCCGAAATTTAGGTGTTAATATAGTTTTTATATTGCTGGTTTCTTCACACCATACAGGGTATATTGAATTTTTTTTTTGAAATAAAAAAATATGCATCTTGTATTTCTTTTCTTAGAATATTTTTTTAATTGCCAGAGGGCACATACACTCACCAGAGAGAGAGAGAGAGAGATAGGGACAGAGACAGAGAAATAAAGCACCCATAAATGGAGCATGGTCACCTCACAATCCTCTTTCCTCCAGTTCTCCAAGCCATCAGATTTTCGACAGGCACAAAATGTGCCCTGCACATTTTTCAAGCCCTCAAGGCTGGGGTTCAAGCCACAGTCAGCTATGTGGGATCCAATGTAGAGCACTTAATCACTGCAAGGAAGGCCCTCATTCTTTCCTTTTTAATTTTTTAAATGTATTATTATTATTATTGAGATTTTTGCTATAGTGTGCATGCACTTGCTGGAGAGACAGAGACAGAAAGCAAGGAACCACCCCCGTAGGGAGGATGGCCACACCTCAATCCCTTCTCCATTCTCCTCTCAGGATTTCGGGTACCCAGGCACAGGTGCCCAGCATGAGTTTTTTTTGTTTTGTTTTGTTTTGAGGTTTTTATGTTTTTGCTATAGGGCACGTGCGCTTGCCAGATAGATAGAGAGACAGAGAGATAGAAAGCAAGAAATCACCCCCCAGGGCTATGGCCATGCTGCAATCCCTTCTCCTCCATTCTCCTCTCGGGATCTTGGGTACGCATGCGCACGTGTCGGGCGTGAGTTTAAGCCACCGGGTCCGGGACTTGAACCACGGTGGACTACATGGGAGTCCAGCTACATAGCCATTACACTAACTGCTGGTCCCCTAGCATGAGTTTAAAGCCACCAGGTCCAGGACGTGAATCACAGTCGATCATGTTGGAGTCCAGTGGCCTAACCATTCTGCCATTTGCTGAGCCTCTCATTCTTTTCTTTAAGAGGTTTTTTAAAACATATCGTGATGATTTCGTGGCTTATTTTGTAGTTTCTTAAGCTACATCCAGTTCTTCATTCATCAAACTATGCTGCAGGGTCAGGGACACATAGGTTATAGACTCTGCCCCTAGGGAGCTCACAGCCTGGGGATGAGGCTAGGGCATTGGGGGGCCTGTTTGCTAGAATCCTAGCAGTTATACTCAATGTGGTCAGGGCCTCTCTTGCACAGTGGTCTTGTCCAGTCTGGCCTTGAGAATGATGAGGGAAATCTTCTTGGAAGAGGTAGCAACTGAGCTCTACTGAAAGACTGCTGACTCAAAACTCAGGGTCTTATACATTTCCAGCCAAGGTCATAATGCAAAGCCAACCTATCCACCCAAACCACCTCTGGTTTAAAACAGGTGCCAAAACGACTAGCAGATGGCGTAATGGCTACGTCGCTGGACTCCCACATGTTGACCATGGTTCAAGTCCCAAACCTGTCAGCTTAAACTTACACAAGGTGCTTGTGCATGTGTGTCCAAGTTCCTGAGAGGAGAATGGAAGAGAAGGGATTGCAGCGTTGTCATTCCCCAGAGTGGGGGGCGGTAATTTCTTGCTTTCTGTCTCTCTCTCTCTTTCCAGTGAGCACATGCACCCTATAGCAAAACCCTCTGTTAAAAAAGAAAAGAAAAGAAAAAAAAGTGCCTAAATCTCGAAATGGGTCTAAACCCTGAAAGATCTTGCTGCCTAAATCACCCAAAGCCTTCTTGCTTATCATTCATCACCAAGTAGAAAAAAACTCAAACTACTTTCCATATGCATATCAGAATGTTAGCTTCATTCTTCATTAAGAGTATGGGGAAATCATTCTTTGCTATAAGTTAAAATAGTTCTTTTTTCCTTTAATTATTCTGCTCTTCTAAGCTCCTGGCAAATTTCTTTTTTCCCTTTCTCTTTGGTATCATATTTTTGCCATTTAGAAGTCTCAGAGGTAATTACTCCACCATGCACCCATGCGCCAACCATGCAGGAGCATCTCCAAGTGCGGACCCAGGCCTGGGCAGTGAGGCAGTTGTTAAAGAACTGTACAAGGGGGCCCTCCCAGGCCTGGGAGAGTGGGTGGGGAAGAAGTGATAGTCAAGTACATGATCATTACAATATACAGTCACTACCATTCTGAGAATTTCCTGGAAAATCTCAGCGAACCTCAAATCTAACCACACATGCTAGGGTTGCAGAGATGGGGAGGAGAGGCAGGTCTCTGGAGAACACAAGAACTTTAGCTTGGTGGGTTCTGATACAGTGCAAAGATGGTCAACGTAGGGCAGATGGGGCGGAGGTGAGGATGTGCTGAAAGCAATCTAGAGGGATTTGCCCTCTTCTGTTGGTGATACCCAGCCCGGTGGTTGTAAAACTAAAAAACAAAGCAGGATCTTTAGGACTCTCCCTCTTTTTATTTATTTATTTTTATTCAGAATTTTATTTTTTTCCCATTACATGTATTGCCATCAGCTTTTTTCTGAAACATTTTAAAAATTAATTAAAACATTCATTCCCTAAGCATTGTCACAGTGTACAAAATGCAATTTCCCATCCAGAATATACTATATAGTGGCTTAATTGTGCATGTAATCATCAATAATTTTCATTTCTAGTTTCATATATATATGTATGTATGTGTATCTGTGTGTGTGTATTTTTTTTTACTCCTATTTTTGACCCTCTTCCCTTTCCCACCGTCCTCCCACACTACCTCTGGTGTCTACAGTTGTTTTCTATTCCTTCTCCCCCCACATTTTATGGATCACACAACTTCTTAAATAATCTAACTACTTTCAATAGCAAGTTCAGCTGGTAATCTCAAGAAAAGCAGTTTTAACTTCCCTCTTTTGAGCAGTCACCAAGCAGTGCTGACTCCGAATCATGCACTTAGGCAGCAGGGGCCTTACAGATCAGAGGGCCTCCCTACTTGATTAGTGAGGAAATTAGGCCCTAATGTTTAGGGGTCCCAGGTTTTACAGCCCCTGAGTACTGGAGCCAGTGGTGCCTAGCCACCACTGACCAGGCCCAGGGCCTTGGCTTCCCTTCCTAGGGCTTGTTTCTCACTGGGAGTCCTGGAGTTCAGAAACCTAGACAGTTAGCCCAAGGTTCTCAGGACCTCACAGGAGAGAGGCCTTCACATCCTCGAGCCCTCTGAAAGGTGTGGACTCCAAGGAAAGTCCAGTTCTCATAGGGCTTCATCCCTCTATGTGGATCCTAGAATCTATACTAAGCCAGAACTTGGAGATTGGGAATTAGCTGTGAAGGAACAAGACTGAGAGAACAGAGAAGAATCAGGATACACTGATGCAGGAAGCCAGGCTAGGAAGATGGAGAGGAATATTACACTTGGGAAAGTGAATTTTTAAAGTGAATAGTCACAGGCTGACTATGGCTCCTAACTCATGACGATTGAGTGGAGTGTGTCCTACCTAAGCAAATAGACTGATGGAACAAAACAAGGTGGAAAGGGTGGTCCTCAAAAAAATCGGGGCACTGTTAGTAGAAGAGGAGTGGGGGATAAGTGCTAGAAGAGCGGAAACGGATACTGACAGTAGCACTCTGCTACTACCCTGGAAGTAAGGGGGTATGAGGCTGGAACGTTCTCATAGAGGACCGCCAGGCCCGGGATTCTCAGAGCTTTATCTAATGGAGTCTGCTGCTACCCGTTAGTAGTCCCATATACAGAGGGGGAAATCGAGGCACAGAGACTTAGGAACTTGCTTAAGGTTTTATAGCTAGAGCCAGAGCTAACACTTGAACCCAAGGAGTCTGATTCCAGAATCTATATTCTTAAGTTTCTCCAGTTCTCTAATTTGTTTTCTTTCCTTCCATTTTTTCCCTCTGAAATAGAGATTTGAAGAAGGCCCTGATAATGAATGTAAAACAGTTAACACACAATAGTCATCATTATTTCTTTTACTATCACTTATTAAAAGAGTATGCAAAGCCTCTGATATAAGGTAGACCTTCAATGACTGAAATAAGACAAAAAGTAATTGAGGGCCAACCATTTGCATGGATGCTAGAGCTGAAAGAAAATCTGTATGATCTTCCGGGAGATTAGCCACGTGTGAAAGAATAGGTACAGAGAGTCCATGTGTGAACAGAAATGTCTTGAGACCTACTGATGCGGGGCCGAGATGGTGAGATACTGAATCCCTGAATGACGCCTTTTTCCTTCCCTTCTCAAGTGCTGCTTAAGTAGAGCTGAGGCCAGACGGGATGCAGCTAAAGTGGCCCTAATCAACTCTCTCTTCAATGAGCTGCCCTCTCGCAGAATCACCAAGGAATTCATTATGGAGAGTGTGCAAGAAGCAGTAGCCTCCACCAGTGTGAGTACCCACAAGGGAAGGGGGGAGCTGGTTGCACTAAGAATACTGAGGTGCTTGATCTTAGGAGAGGCTAGAGAGCACATTCTTATGTTAAGAATTGTATAGGTTTCATTTTTACCTATTAAATTGTTCATTAATTTTCAGTAAAAAGAATACTGGGATTGAAAATCCTGACACTTTAGCTGCTTGTCCACTCCACATCTCAATACTATTGTGGGTTTTTTTTTTTTGCGTTTTTGTGGTTTTTTTGAGAGAGCTTTTTGAGGTTTTTGCTATAGGGCGCATGCACTTGCCAGACAGACAGAGACAGAAAGATGGAAAGCAAGAAATCACCCCCTCCCAGGGGGGATGGCGATGCCGCAATCCCTTCTCCTCCATTCTCCTCTCGGGATCTTGGGCACGCACGCATGCACACACATCTAGTGTGAGTTTTAAGTCACCGGGTCCAGGACTCAAACTGCGGTTGACTACATGGGAGTCCAGCAACATAGCCTTTACGCTAACTGCTGGTTCCTCAATACTGTTCTTTAGCCTACCTGGAACACAGTTAATCGAGTTGAAAACAAGATATATCACTGGAGTCACCTTGATTAGTTTACTTAAATGTTTGCTTTTTGAAGCATGTTGATTCTTTGAAGGCCTAAGAATGCATGCAATCAAACACTACTTTACTCTAGTGATGAACTAGCTCCATTTTCCCCAAACTTGACTGACCATAAACATCACCCAAGGTGCTTATTGAAAGTACCAATTCCCCAGTCAGTGTGGAGCCCAAGATCTATGTTTTTAAGGACATTCTATTTAGATATGGGAAAAACCATATGTCCAATGTGGGTTAGCTATTAGAATTATCATAATTAATATCAATTACTTTCAGAGAGCTTTGAAATGGTCTGTCATGGACATAATTAAATATAAAGTACTTGCAGCCAGCAGGTGGTGGGTGGTTAAGGTGCTAGACTCCCACATGGCCAACAGTACAGTTCAAGTCTTGGACCTGGTGGCTTAAAAGTCATGACAAGTGCCTGTGCATGCATCCCTAAATCCCAGGAGAATGGAGGAGAGGGGATTACAGCGTGGCCATTCTTCCTAGGCGGCGATTTCTCACTTACTTCCTCACTCTCTCTCTCTAGTGAACGTGCATGCCGTAAGGTAAAAAACCTTAACAATGAAAAAAGTAAAATGCTTTAAAAGCAAAAAACCCTACCCTAGAAATTTACATGGAATGTTTTCTGAGCAGCTGAATAGTTTATTTGTCCCATGAATGATTTGGAGCTCCTGACCCCCATTGCCTCCAACTAAGCCACGGAGGAAGCCTTGGCTCTCCACCTATGGCAGACGTTCTCATGCATGTGCTCAAGGGCAGGAGCTGGGCACCACCAAAGGAATTAGCCACTCTGGCTTGCCTTTACCATGGATAAACCCCTTCTGAGATTTTCCTTCTCTGGTTCTCTTGGTCTGAAAAGATCTGTCATTCTGGAGAAGCTGCTGATAATGAAGGAGACATGGTAAGACGAGCAGTGACTCTTTTCCCCTCATAAACACTCGCACCACTTAGAGGAGAGAGGACAGGGCAGGGGGAGGAGAGTAACTGGCCTGGCAGGGATGGCAGAATGCTCTGCTCTGGATCTCCTCCAAGGATGAAAGGAAGATTTTATTTCCCCGTCCTGTAAATTTCAAGTGCCTTTGAGGGGGAGAAGTTAGAAAAATGATGCCTGATTTATGTAAGTGTGGAATTTACTCAGGAGCAGGGAGGGGTCCTCAGTGTAAATATAATTTATCATTTTTTTTTTCATGGAAATTTCTAAGGAAAGAGAATATATATGGCTTGCATGCTTCTGGATGGATTTCCTTTGGGATATTTAAAAAGCCAACATAAATATTTCAGCAGCAGTGTGTTAATATTACTGCGTTCAAAAGCTATAAATTTGCTGCTATCTGATGCTGCCGGTTGTTTGCTCGGTCTCACAAAGTCTCCATTGCCCACCTTCCTGGGAATGCAAGGCCATGGGATATTGAAGGGCAGACCCAAATGCCATTTCAGAGCTCATGTCCGCCTCTCAGCACTATCCTCCACAAATTGAAAGGGAATTTCTTTTCTACCCATCACCCACCCACCTTGTTCCTAAAGATTAAGTGGTCTGGGAGTGCAAAATATAAACCAAGACCCGCAACTCCAGCCAAACGCTGGCATATTATGAAAAGCTCCTGTTTAAAATCATGGCAGTAAAATGTGATGGTCCCTGTAACTGGAGACTTTGTTTGTGTCCGTTACATAATCTTGCCCGGTTATCATAGAAATAGGAGCAAGGTCAATGTCTCAAGGTCTCAATAGCCAATGAAGGCAGCCCCAAGGGGAGGCCATGCAAACATTAATGTCACCACCAACTAAAGCTCGATGCAGAAACTTCTGCTTTGGCATAATTATCCTATCAGTGAGCATATAAACAGTCAACATTCAGAGCAACCATGGATACCAGAGTCAGTGTGGGAGGAGGGTGGGAGATGGCAGAGGGTGAGAGATAGGGAATCAAGGATGGGAAAAAAAGCAAAATATACAGAAAACAAGAAATAAAAAATTATTTGTTGATGATAATACATATGTTAATGTGCTTGATTGAGCCAATATACAGTGTATTCTCATTTTGTATGCTATAATGATGTATAGTAAATGAATGTAAATAAATTTAAATTTAAAAAAATAGGCAATCAAAAAAAGCACTACTTATCACATCCTCTAGAAGCATTAAACTTCCAAAAATAAGTTATTATTTTAATAAACCAAGTTATATCTACAAAATAAAATATTTTTAGTGTAACTATGTTTTTAAAAAAAAAACCTGATAATATTGCTGTGGTGTACTGTTCAAAGGTTCATGTGTTAGAATTTGATCCCTAGTATAATGGTGGAATACGTTTTCTAGCAAGAGAAAATTTTAATCAATAAAATGTTTGACAGCTAAAAAAATAATAATAAACAGTCAACATTCTAAACAAAAGCTAGAGTCCAGTTGATTATGAAACCCTTTTTACTCCAAGTCATGGTGAGAGCAAGTACTTTATCCAAAATCAACTGAAAACTTGTGGAGGGGATACCTGCAAGCTTTAGGTAAAATAACAGGGGGCTTGTTATGTGGCCACAGGATTAATCCATGGCCATGCAAGGAAGGGAAAGAAAAATTGGTACTATTTTCCTGGAGGCCATGCAAACATTAATGTCACCACCAACTAAAGCTCGATGCAGAAACTTCTGCTTTGGCATAATTATCCTATCAGTGAGCATATAAACAGTCAACATTCAGAGCAACCATGGATACCAGAGTCAGTGTGGGAGGAGGGTGGGAGATGGCAGAGGGTGAGAGATAGGGAATCAAGGATGGGAAAAAAAGCAAAATATACAGAAAACAAGAAATAAAAAATTATTTGTTGATGATAATACATATGTTAATGTGCTTGATTGAGCCAATATACAGTGTATTCTCATTTTGTATGCTATAATGATGTATAGTAAATGAATGTAAATAAATTTAAATTTAAAAAAATAGGCAATCAAAAAAAGCACTACTTATCACATCCTCTAGAAGCATTAAACTTCCAAAAATAAGTTATTATTTTAATAAACCAAGTTATATCTACAAAATAAAATATTTTTAGTGTAACTATGTTTTTAAAAAAAAAACCTGATAATATTGCTGTGGTGTACTGTTCAAAGGTTCATGTGTTAGAATTTGATCCCTAGTATAATGGTGGAATACGTTTTCTAGCAAGAGAAAATTTTAATCAATAAAATGTTTGACAGCTAAAAAAATAATAATAAACAGTCAACATTCTAAACAAAAGCTAGAGTCCAGTTGATTATGAAACCCTTTTTACTCCAAGTCATGGTGAGAGCAAGTACTTTATCCAAAATCAACTGAAAACTTGTGGAGGGGATACCTGCAAGCTTTAGGTAAAATAACAGGGGGCTTGTTATGTGGCCACAGGATTAATCCATGGCCATGCAAGGAAGGGAAAGAAAAATTGGTACTATTTTCCTTTTGATCTTTGCTTCTCAAGGGCACTTTAGATGACGCGGACGACCCCAGCACCAGCATCGGAGCCTACCACTACATGCTGGAGTCCAACATGGGGAAGACCATGCTGGAGTTTCAGGTACTGGCTTCCAGTGTGTGTGATCTGCCAATCCAGAAGCTGAGGGAAGCACGGCTATTATCACTATCATCACCTGTACAATGCTCTAGGGGTCCTAGGGTTTTATTGTTTGTTTGTTTTTTTCTGTCAAGCGTTTGGTCATTTCAGTTTAACTCTCCTAGAATTCAGCCCACAAGCCCATCCACACCTTGGTAGGCTACATAAGGAATAACTAAGCACAATCTTGTTTTTATGAGGGGAAGTAAAGGCTAAGAAATATGTGAAGGAGGCCAGCAGGTGACACGGAGGTTAAGATTAATGGATCCCACAGGTCCAACAGCACAGTTAGTCCCGGCCTGGCAGCTTGAAAATGACAGCAGGCACTTGGGTGTGCGTGCCCAAAATCTCTGGAGGAGAATGGAGGAGAAGGGATTGTGGGGTAGTCACAAGCCTGGAGCAGGAGGAATTTCTCACTTTCTCTCTCTCTTTCTAGTGAACACATGTGCCCTGTAGCAAAAATGACAGCAGGCACTTGGGTGTGCGTGCCCAAAATCTCTGGAGGAGAATGGAGGAGAAGGGATTGTGGGGTAGTCACATGCCCGGGAGGATTTCTCACTTTCTCTCTCTCTTTCTAGTGAACACATGTGCCCTGTAGCAAAAAACTAAAATTTCAACAAGCACACACACACACACACACACACACACACAAATGTGAGGAGCTGGTTTTATGCCTCTATAACATTTCACCAGCTTTTCATTCAATGTTCCTCCTCAAACCAGATCCAACTGTTGAGAGTGCTGGTTGTTACTATATCTCGTTCTTAATTTTCAGATGTCATGGATGATGTTTCCCACAGTGTGTGTTAAGTAAAATCCCCTTCATGCTGATATTTCTATAAAACAAGGCCTACCACCTCCCATTAGCGAACAGATAAAAAAAAAAAAATTAGCAACCTATTTCCTTTTCACCACGGCTCACAAGCCATAACAGGGCTAAGGAACTATATTACCTATTATGAGCAAAATAAAGTATTATATTAATAAAGTGGCAATGGTGGTAACAGCTAACACTTCTCGATTACTTTGTCTGGCATGGTGTTTACCCTTAAGCAAATATCATCATTTAACCCTCACGACAACCATACAGATGGATGTTAACATCCTCATGTTATCATTGAAGGATGCGTGCCATCGTTTAGCAAGGGTTCAGACCGGGGTTCGGACCCAACAATCTAATCTCTGAGCTCACACTCCTGACTACTAGTCTATATTGGGCCGGGAGGATGAAATTTCAATGGTGTTTGAGCGTGAGATGCATTTTCCTTCTGGAAAACTAAACTTTAATGCAGTTGAACATCCACACCATGCAACACTAGTAGGAATCAATACACAGTAGAAAAGCATAACAAAAAGACCTTTTATCCTCCCAATAATTCTTTTTCTTTTTCTTTTTTTTTCTCTCGCTCTAGAATGTGTGCATGCATGGGGGTGGGGAGAGAAAGCACTCCCCAGGGACAGTGACCACAGCACAATCTTTTTTTTTTTTCCGCTATAGGGCGCATGCGCTCGCCAGACAGACAGAGAGAGACATAGAGACAGAAAGCAAGAAATCACCCCCTGAGGGGATGGTCACGCCACAATCCCTTCTCCTCCATTCTCCTCTCGGGATCTTGACAACGCACGCACACGCGTCCAGCGTGAGTTTTAAGCCACCGGGTCCGGGACGCGAACCGCGGTCATCTACGTGGGAGTCCAGCAACATAGCCATTACGCTAACTGCTGGTTCCCCACAGCACAATCTCTTCTCCTCCATTTCTCCTCTGAGGATTTTAGACACACATGCACATGTGCCCAGTCTGTGTTTTTCAAGCCATTGGGTCCAGCACTCGAACTGCACAGTCAGCCATGTGAGGTCCTGCTGCCTTAACCACCACACTACCAGCTGGCCTCAGTAATTCTATTTCGTTAAGTTAGATTTTAAGACATAATCATGGGACCTGCAGATGGAATAATGGTTACATCACTGGACTCCCACGAAGTGCACCATGGTTCGAGTCCCGGACCTGGTGGCTTCAAACTCATGCCAGTCAAGTGTGAGTGCATGCCTAAGATTCTGAGAGATGAGAATAGAGGAGAAGGGATTGCGGCATGGTCATCTCCCCTGGAGGGGGGTGTGATTTCTCTCTGATATTCTGTCTGTCTTTGTCTCTTCCGGGAATATACATGTATTATAGCAAAAATCTCTCTCTCTCTAAAAAAAAACCCAAAAAGCAGTAATCAGAGATTATACAGTTAAATTCCAAGAAGCAATCAGAAATATGACATTTCAAGGACAAAAGCCCTCATCATGATGTAATTTATAATGGTGTTGCGGTTGAGCCCTAAAGACACCATCTTTCAATTCAAGTACCTTCTTTTTTTTAAGAGAGATTTTTGCTATAGGGTGTGTGCACTCGCTAGAGAGACAGAGACAGAGAGTGAAAAATGCACCCCCCCAGGGGGTATAACCACACCACAGTCCCTTCTCCCCATTCTCCTCTCAGGATTTTGGGCATGCACGTACACACACCCAGCATGAGTTTTAGGTCACCAGGTCCAGGACTTGAACCATGGCCAACTATATGGGAGTCCAGTAAATTAACTATTATGCTATCTCCTAGTCCCAGTTTCTTTCAGACTCCTTTTCCTAGCCATAGTAGCATAGCCACTTATATAAATATGTCTTTCCTGCCTATTTTTTAAACTAAATCTTTATTTAATTTTATTATTATTATTATTATTACTTAATTTGCTATAGGGCACATGTACTCAACAGAGACAGAAAGAGAAAAAGAGAGGAAAAGTGAGAAAACAAGCAGCCAAGTCTGGGACTCGAACCTCAGTCAGCCATGTAGGAGGCCAGCATTGTAATTACCATATCATTTGCTAGTCCTGACCTCCTGCCCATTTTTCAAAAATCACTATTTTTATCAGTCTCCTGTACAATTAAAGCAAAAATACTTTTTCCCCCTGCTCCTCGTTCTTGGTCATCCAGTTTTCTCCTTCAGTGGCCATGGTCTCACTGACCTTTAACACAGCCTGTCTTGATTAGACAGTGATCATGTATCTGATAAGCCTATCCTCCAGAGTGGACAGGGACCTGGTCAGCTCAGTGGTTCTTGCCCAAGCTTTGGGGAAGATTGGCCATGTTTGTTTTTATTATTATTTTTTAGATAAATTTCACATTTTACATAAAGTCCTCATCATAATATATAATATATATATATATATATGTATATGTTTTCAACAGGGAACTTCTCATTTTTCTGTCTGTCAAATGTTTCCTTCCCTTGCTTCTCACACCCACCCTCAACCACCTACTCTTCCACCCATTATTCCTCCTTAAGGTCTCTAGCATCCATACCTGTCCTTTCCACCAGCACGTAGTCAGATCTTTCAACCTCTGCCATAAAGTGCAGATTCTCAGTACAAATTGAGCGGGCATACAGCGTCTATCCTTCCAAGTCTGCATCACTTCACTCAACATTGAGCCTTCTATGTTCATCCACTTTGAGTCAAACAATAGGATCTCACTGTCTCTTATAGCTGAATAATATTCCATAGTGTATATGTGCCACAGTGTTTTTTCAACCTTCCAGTCATCGGTTTTTGGACCCTTAGGTTGGTTCCATGTTTTTGCAATTGTGAATTGCTAAAACTGGGCTGGCCAGTTTTAACTTGGCTCTTTTCCTTACCTCAAAACCTATTTCCTCATTTGTGCAAATGAGGGAGAATAACTGAACCTACCTCACAGTGTGATCATGAGGATTAAATAAGATAATAAGGGAAGAGTTCAGAACAGTGCTTGGTGTAAGACCAGTGCCCAATAAAATGTTTGGAACCATAATTATACGTGTTTCTAAAAGACTGTTTTCACTTGACATGCCAAAAGCTACCAGATGGATTTCTTAGACTACTCTATCTAACCTAACACTTCAGATGAAGACAGGATAGTGCCCTTGTACAAGAGGATTCAAGACTTCTGCTATAGAATAAAAGGTGGCTCTGTAAAGAATCCATTTATTTTCATAAGAATCCAAGACTAAACAGAGAAATAAAAGAGTTTGGGGCCAGTAGTGGAGAGGTGGTTAAGGTGGTTGCAGGGCCAGCTGCACACTTCTAATCCCAGAGGAGGTGGCTTGAGAAAGACATGGACGTGCCCAATCACAGGAGGAGGATGGAAGAGAGAGGATTACAGCATGGCCATCCTCCACTGGGAGTGATTTCTCACTTTCCTTCTCACTGTCTCTCTGTTTCTCTCCAGGGAGATCACACACCCTATGGCAAAAACCTAAAAATAAATAAAATAAAATAGGAATAATAATACCTATCTTTAAGATGTTAGGGGAGGAAATGTAAATAAAGTGACATTCATGAAGTGTCTAGTAAGAGGGAATCTTGAGTTCAGCAAGCAGGAATCTCACTTTGATTCCTCCCACCTCCACTCTATTAAAAAATAAAGAAATAAAACTATTATACTTTTTTAAATTGTAGAATAAATATTGCCTGCCACAGTGCACAGAAGCTTGTAGTGATTTAGTAGTTATTTTCAGAAAAATTAAGAATAATTTTGAGTGTGATTGGGTTAGGCTGCCAAAGATGGAGAAGGCAAGATTAAAAAGAGAAAAATTCTTAAAATTCCTTCCAAATACTATGAAAGGCTCTACTCAACCTCCTTTTAGTACTACTTTAATTGCCTGGCTGTGGGCTCTGTGTTTTCTGTGTGGTCTGTGTAGTAAGGTATTTAAATATGTGAAATAATAATTTGAATCATACTGTGGAAAAGCGTCATAAATTCTCATAAAGGAGTCTGGGTACAGAATGAGGACAACGGAAGAGGAGAAGGAAGATGTGGGGGGCAGGGAAAAGCCAAACCGCCTCTCCTAGTGGGGACACTGGCAACTCAGGAGGAGGGCCAAAGCACATCACTTTGCCTTCCGCCAGTGGTAGGCTGCCTGCTGGGACCGGGCACATTCCTTAGT